CCTGAGCTAAAATACCCTGAGCTAAAAATTAGCAATTAAAAGGACATTGCAAATGTGTATTTTTTAGTACTTCACCCTCGTCGGAATCCTATTTGTGTTGGAGATTGCTGGCGGAGTGTACCTCGTCATCAACAAGGACAATGTAAGTTGAGAGGAAACAAAAGAGAGAGCAAGAGCGTGAGGGTAAGGGCAAGAGATAGAGAGAGCGACAGAGAAAAATAAAAATGGTCATAATCGAATTTTTCAGATCCGAAACAACCTGGCAAATGTGTGGCGAACGGAGCTGGTCGCCAACTATCAATCCAACAGTGTTATTCGAGATACGCTCGATAATATTCAAAGACAGGTGAGAGAGAGAGACAGAGAGAGAGAGAGCGAGATTGAACGAGCTATCGAATCCAAATATTCCAGATGAGCTGCTGTGGAGCTACGGGATGCTCCGATTACCAATCGATTCCACAATCGTGCACTACTTGCTTTTCCGGCAATAATTATGCGGTGGTAGGCAATCTAGCGGTTTATAGTACATCTTAAAAATATATAAAAGCGTTTCATAACTTTTTTAGCGAGGCTGCGCCTACGCCCTTTTCGATACCTTCACGTCGAATATGGTCATCGTTCTCGTTATTGCCATTGCGATTTTGGTTGTGGAGGTAATTTTTTGCAATTTCTTTAAAGTGCTGGTAAATAAGGTCTACTTGTTTACAAAATCGTACATGATTTATAGAAATCTACATAATTAAATCGACTTTTTCCAGTTCATCGCCCTCGTCTTTGCCTGTTGCACGTGCTGCGCGGTCAAGAGCAAGCGGAACACGATTTAAAGATTCGACAAAGGTTATCGAAAATGAGATTTAGCGCTGAATTAAATACAGGGTTAGGCATATATATGGCAACACCCCCAGACCATACTAATTTGCCTGCTATCGGAAAATTAATTATTTTTTCGGGGGTTTGGGTGTTTCCCATACAAGAACTTGGGTTTCTTTATGCAGGTGACAAATCAAAACGGTTTCAAAATTTTTAATTTTTGATATATAGTAGCGGGAAGTTTAGCGATTTTGTCTAAAAAGCGGTGTGTTGGCACGCTGCTCATAGAACCCCGGATATTGGTAGCTCTGCTCCAGGGTTTGGTATTTAAGTTTACTTCGATCTTATTTATTTTTACCAAAAGTCTTTTAGTCGGAAACTGTCGAGGGAATTTTGCTATATTCAAAAAACGCGCGTTTACGCAACCCTCACCACCTTTATGTTGACCACTAAAAATTAATTATAAAATGCCTGCCAATTATATTGTTTTATTTAAGCAATTTTTTAAATCTTAGGCATCGGATTGAGCCAATTCCTGTTGTTGGAACCAAGCAATTCAACGATTAAAGATAAAAAAGGCAATTTCACTTTTTTTACTATGATTTTTGGGAGCAGCCGAGAACAATTCTAAAATTTCTGCCTACTTTAAGGCAATTAATGGTTTTAATTACCTTTATCTGTCAATACTAAGTAGTACACATATTTTTAGGGGTCATTCGTGCCCAAAACGGCGTTTCTCAACCATGCTGAAATTGGCTTCAAAGGGGTTCCGTGCCAGCACCACCCTTACGACACCCAGTTTTTGCTTCAGAACAAATATTTATAGGGTTGCTGCGCTGCAATATTTTAAGAGTAGTTACAGGACACTCATCGCCATGTTTCAGCATATTATTGAAGCCCAACCAGCTTTCTTCATTTTTTGAGAGATCCGAGAAAGTGTTGCCATATATATGCCTCACCCTGTAGTTAGACGACAATTAAGACCTTACAAAAATCAATCTGTCTGTCAAAATATTTCAGCTCACTTCCCCCCCCCCCGGAAATCACGATCTCATTTTCTATTATTTAAACTCTTTCCAACTCTGTAAAAATTAAGCTAATTCACAGTAATTTTTTTAATTTGCATAACTAACGTAATCTGCATATCAAAGTACCACAATAAAGTGTTGAACCATATCCCAATTTAATTTGGTTTTTGATGTTTTCCGAACCTCCCGACCTTTCACATCGTATTTCCGCTTACCATTTTTAAATGTTTTTTTCGTTTGTTCTATGCCCGGATTCTCCATTTCCAAATATATTTGTTACGGTCCCGCAATAAAGATCAACATCGCAAAGAAATTATGCAAAATTACATCAAGTTACAAAAAGAGCGCCTGAATCCTGAATCGCGGATGTGTCGTGGTTGGTGAGAGAGAAGATCAGTCAAAGAGATTTTGAACGTAAAAAAAAATCGATAAAAACTACAAAATGCATTTGAATTCAAATAAACGTTAAAATTACTGTATCCGGCAATCGCTTTCGTCAACGACTTGCGGGCTTTCCTGCTTATCCCCATGGCGGCGCATCTTGAGGCTGAGATGTTTGGTTCGGCGGATCAGACTCCCGGAGCGGCTCAGCGGCTAAAGAATCGGGTTTATACGGTTAAGAAAACTGCTGTAATCTTTTAAAGGAAAACGTAACCGACGAAAAATTTTGTATTTCTGAATAAAGTTTGCTGGCAGGATCGGAATTTTGGTTGTCTCACCTTGGTCTCAGTATCATCCAACGATTTCTTTTCGATGGTGTCCTTTTCACGACGTGGCGATTTCATCTGAATTTATTAGATTTTTTTGCTTTTTTTCTTTACTTTCTTTTATTTTTTCATTTGCTCTTTTTTAATTCTTAGAGCCCAACTTACCCTTAACGATCGATTCCGCTTCAGGTCGTTGTGGCCAAGGATTCGTTCGGAGAGGGAGAGTAGTGGATGGGAGGCTTGGTGGTTTAATGGTGGACTTTCCTTGGCCTGGACCTCGTTTTCCTTGAACGCTTCCTAAATAACCCAAAAACTAAGTTTATAAAAATTTATCGGCAAGAAGACCTGCCATACACTCTTCATGCGTTTTCTATGACCCAATTCATCCAGAGCGCAAAAAAACACAATTTTTATTAGAATTTTTAGGTGTAATTCCCTTACTAGTGTCTTAGAATTTCACTTATTTTTATACTCAATATTTTGGATTGGGTCCCCCAGAGGATTCATTCTTTCCTCATTCTGGGCACAATTTTTTTAGCGCGGCAATTTGCCCACAAGTCGGGCTTTTCCGCAAAACAAGAATTAAGCGGCGAATAGCACGAAAATTTTCATGGTTATTAACCCAACAAAACTATGTATTAGTGCATGCTTGCAACTGTATCAAAGATATTAGAATTAGATAGAATCGATTTCAATAAACTAGGATCTTCAAAATACATATTCCAGAAGATTAAAAGGTCCAGTAAGTGCTAGAATCGACCCTGAGTTTCGGCTAGGTGTAGACAGCTACTCCTCCCGTCACTTAACGCATTTAGCTATTTTTCATAGGTTAGAAGACTCATTAGGAATGATGCGTAGCTGCCTAGGCCGAGTTGACTCGCAGGGTCGATGCTCACACTGCCCAGTGCCTTTAAAGCTACGAAATCACCCATCCAAACCCATTTTCAAGCATTTTCAACCAAAAGCATGCCTTGTGCATGAAGATTTGCCGATTCGTCGGCCGTTCCCTCGTTGTGTTATATCTTCTCAAAATCGGAGAACCTTCCTTCGACTCCTCACCGAGGTCTTCAAGCCGTCCACCGGAAGCCTTAAGGAAATGCACTTCACTCCACGATCCGAAAACCGATTTTTGCGTATTTCAAAACTTAATTCTATAAAAATTCTATAAAATCAAAAAAGAAAATTTAATCGATCAGCAACCAAGAACTCGAAAAGCCAAAAAATCACTTCAAACCAAAGATAATGTTTTCCACTCGAGCTTACCTTGAGAGGAGTGGGAAGGTTAATACCCTGGATTAAAAAAAATAAAATTACAAAATTAAATCAAGGTTACGGTAGCGGAAATAAAACTCAAGCCTACCTTGCATCTGGGAAATCCGGAAATCTCCAGGAGTTGCCGAAAAATGTCGACGACACGGAGGTTGTTCTTGGCCGAGACCTGAAAAGTGGAATCAAGGGAGACAACGATTACAGGTATCCTAATGTAGTATATTTAAAATAAACAACAACAAGCCTTAAAAATCGACAATACATACCTCTAAATATCGTACATCTCCACTCAAACGCTTTGTAAAAGCAGTAGCGGTAGCTTCGAATATCTAAAAAATAGAGTTGTGCCACTTTTTAGTGGATCTCTCTCTCTCCCTCTCCCTCTCTCCCGCTCTCTCTCTCTCTCTCTCCCTCTCTTTCTCTCTCTCTCTCTTATAACTTACCTTCTTCGACCCCAAATCGCACTTGTTCCCAACGACTACGGTAGGCAGGAGTGCAATATCCGGACGCCGATCGCAGATCTCTTGCCACAGATCGGACATCTGGATTCAGACGGGTTAACAGTTATTTTACGCTTTATTTTAACTATCTTAATCTTTTTTTAGCTGACCTCTTTGAACGTCTGCACATCATCTACCGAGAATACCAGCAAAAAAGCGGAAGCTGTCGATATGGCCAACCGTCTCATATCCGGGAAGTTGAAGTTGGTGTCCAAGATGTCGAGAGGGAGGGGGATTCCCTAAACATGGAAATAAGAGAGAGAGGGAGAGGGAGACAGAGAGGGAGAGAGAGAGAGAGATAGGGAGATAGCGAAAGAGAGAGAGATAGGGAGATAGCGAGAGAGAGAGACAGAGATACATCGAATCGATAGGGGTTCGAGCGAGAGTGATAAGCTTTGCTAACCTGAATCCTGAACTGCCTGGAATGCAAATCCTCGATCGTCTCCTTGTACTTCTCGGAGAACTCGTGATAGAGGTACTGCCTGAAGAAGGACGTTAATTGAATGCGACGCGACCGTCACGCGTTCAGCTGAGATGCTACGACCTAGAGAGGCTGACACAAGGGGCTCGTGAATGCGCTGAGCCCGCGTTGCGTGTGGCGCTTATCTAGGAGTGAACCGCGAAAAGTAACGCGGTTACGCATTCAAGGGCTGACTCTCAGGGTATGCAGTAGCGGAGCTGTGACCCCATAAAAGCCATTTACCCACCGTATCAATGACGTCTTGCCAACCTTGGCGGAGCCGAGCACGACGAGCCGGTAGCGCTCCTCGCCCATGCTGAAAATTTATGTAAATTTAAAGCTTTTTAAGGTGTTTATATAGCCGGTGAATACCGTGGGAAATTGTCAATTTTTAGAACCGAAAAAACGCAAATTCATGATAATGGTATTACGGGACTATTAAGGCAACCTCATCTTCCTGCTATCCAAGCATTCGAACAGATTTTGGAGACGTTCTAGGTAGCTGACCATAGCAAAATTTTTCAGTTTTTTAGCAGCACGTTTTTAGGTGTAATTCGGAGTCTATCAACCACACATCGTCATTTCGAAATTCCCCTTCAAAACATACGCCCCCGCTTAATAGACAATTCCAGAATTCCGGAAATTGGCCGGATATTAGCTACAGCTTTCGCATGAAAAAATTGCTTGGTGCAATAAAAACAATTTTTTGAGAGTTTTTAGTAAGCAGGGGGAAATTGAGACTGCGGAAATGGGGCCGGGGAGCACGAGGTACGGGCCGGAAATCAAATTCGCCGATTTATCGCGCGCTCGGTGGTCACCATGAGGGGCCGACGATAAGGGGAACGGAATCTGGAATGAGCCGGAATGCATTTTCGTTAACAAATTAGGTTTGCATCAATTTGTGTCGGGATTCGGGTCCAATTCGGGTTGCAATGGCATTCGAAAATCCAGGAATCACAAAATTTTGCAAAATCGGGCTTTTGTGCTAATTAGTATACCAGAGAAACACAGAGAGAGAAAGCGAGAGAACGAGAGGGCCAGCCAGAGAGAGAGTGAGAGAGAGTGAGAGAGAGCATTGGAAAATCGATCTTCGAACAAAATTCAAAACTGTACAAAACCCCCAAAAATTTCACTAATCCACAAAAATAAAAATCAATGAACTAATCCGCTGCCCCAAAAAGTCAAAACTTTCGCGCTATCTAATCCGCTGGCAGCTCCAGGGCCTGTTAATTAAGCAGAAGCTTCCTGAAAAATAGCGATGAAGGTGGGCGTCATTTACGCACGAATGGGCACGCTAATAAATCAGTCTTTCATGGTATGCCCTTTATCAAAACTTTATCTCTGGTTGTAATCTTATAGTGATTAGACTAAAGGGGTATAAGATTGTCTTACGAAAATTCGTGAGGGCGTGAAGGAGAGAGAGTGAGAGAGAGAGAGATCAAGCTTCATACCGTGTCCGGAAGCACTGTCATATCTCAGTTTTTTTTTAACAGAACTACCCAAAATGCGGGAACCCAGACAGAATTAAGAATTGTAGGATGAGAAAAATGTAGTTGGCCGGTTGTCGAGTTTTTCTAGCATCCACAAAAAAATCCGAACCCTACCCAACGCAGCAGTGGATGCCTAGAATTTGCCGAATTGTTCGTTTAAAGCTGTAAAGGAAAGCAAACTTCAAGGGCGGAATTGTGTTAAAAATACAAGGGAGATTTTCGGGATTTGTGATGACATTCAAATCGGCTAGCTTCAAAAAAATTAATTTCGAAA